CAAAAAAAAACAAAAACAAAAAACCCCCCCAACAACCCCAAAACAAAACTGGGGAGAGAAAAGACTGGCAGTTCTGCAGTGGTGGCATATAAAAATGGTTTTCTATTTAGTTCATTATAGATTTTAATAAAAGTCTAGGGCAGTACAAATTTATTCTTGTTTTGAATCCTCAGTCTGATGCAAATAAATATTTAAATATACTTAATTAAAATTTAAAAAAAATTAGGTGGCTCCAGCCTGTCTGTTAAGTTGAACCTTTTCATTGCAGTTTTAATGTTTGCAAACCTCTTTCTTCTCTTCCTTCCCACTCAGGGGGGATCCAGAGGTGGGGACAGTGGCATGGCCCCTTCCTCCTGCCCCCCCACCCCACCCCTTTCAGTTGATGCTGTGGGAGAAGCACATAGAGGCTTTGCCCCCCCTCCCCCAAAGTCAGTAAAGGAAGTAAGAATTTCCCTGTGGCACATCCTGTTCCCCTCTTATTTCCTCCCCTTCCTCACCTGCTGCTATCACTGTCCTGGCTGATCTAGGGGCCAGATGGGAGGATCCATAGCTTCTCCTGTCTTGCTCCAGCTGGGCTTTGTGGGGAACAGCTGGGGACAGTGACAGTAGCAGGTGTCAGGGCTGAGGGGGTGGGGAGGCTGGAAGCGAAGGGATGTGTTGCTGAGCAGAGAGGGGAAGGGAGAGAGCACTGAAAATGGAAAGGGAAGATTCTTACCTGATTGAGGGACTCAGTAGGGGTGCACCAATAAAGTTTTTTTTGGCTTATTATTAACTGGCCATATCAGCTGATACCAATCTTATAGGTCATATGTAACCCAGCAGCTTGGAGATGAGGGAAAGGCATGTGGATCAAGGTCCCCAAGGCCCAGAGATTAAGGCCCATGCTGAGGGAGGGAGTGGGGGGCATGGCAGAGCTGCGGGCAGCTTGTCTGGTGTGGGGAGTGGGAAGAGGGGATGGCTCCTGCCACTTCATGAACCCCTGAGGGAGGCATGGGGGTCATGTGTCCCCTGGATTTGTGCGTGGCATGAGGGTGGGCTGTGGACTTGGGGCCAAGGGCTGCACTGACCTCTTCCCAGTGTGGGGGCTGGGCTGGGGCTGAGCTTGGGTCGGGAGAAGTGGGTGGTGTTGGTGCTGGAGGTGGGTAAGGGGCTATGGAGAATTTTGGGGTGACTGTAGCCCATCCCCTAGCCCCCTTCCCAGTGCTGGTTGCCCCGCTCTCAAGAACCCTTTTCAAATATTGGAGTCACATTTGTACCCTTCCAGGTTTCTGGTGCCAAGGCTGTTTTTAGTGATTGGTTGTACACTACAGTTAGGAGTCAGGCATTTTTTGTCTGAGCTCCTTCAGGACCCTAGGATGAATGCCATCAGGTTCTGGTTATTTTCTGTTTAGTTTATTGGTTTCTTCTGTGACCTCATCTGTCCAAACCTCAGTTTGGGTCAGCTCCACAGACTTGATGCAAAGAATGTATTTGGTTTCTTCGCAATGGCTCCATCCTTGTTTAGTGCTCCATTTTACACCCTGATCATCTAAAGGCCAAATGATTGCCTGGCAAGTGTTTGGCTTCTAATGTATTTAAATAAATGTTTATTGTTACGTTTTGTGTCTCTAGTTCTTCTCCAATTCTATCTTAGCTTGTCTTACTACAGTTTTACATTTGATTTACCAGAGTTTGAGCTTTTTTATTTTCATTAAGTTTTGACTTTTTTTGCAAGAAGCTTTTTTCTATTCATTGCCTCTACAAGTTGGTCATTAAACCATGCTGGCTTGCTTTTGGTCCGTTCATTTTATTTTTTGATTCATGGTATGCATTTGATCTGTGTGTGTTGTTCTTAAGGAGTTCCCATGCCGTTTGCAAGCTGTTTACCGCCTTAGGGGGTCCCTTTTAACTTTTGTCTAATTAGCTTCCTCACTTTGGTAGTCTTCCTTTTTAAAGTTACAAGCTACTTTGGTAGATTTTCTTATCTCCTGCCCTATGTGAATGTCAAGTTAAATTGCAGTGTGGTCACTACCACATGGTGGCTTAGCAATACCCTTTGCACCATATCCTGTAAACTACTTAGGACTAGGTCATAAATGGCCTTTCCTCTTGTAGGTTCCAGGATGAATTGCTCTAGACAGCAATCTTTTATAATTTCAAGAAATTTAGTCTCTGTATCCCAACATGAGGTTAGATTGACTTAATGTGTTTGTGGATAATTGGAGTCATCCATTATTACCATGTTTTCTGCTTTTGCAGCTGCTCAATTCCATTACCATTTCTAGCTCACTGCTGCTGTCCTGGTTTGGGGATTGATAACAGTCCCAATATGTACCTTTTTTCTATTGAAACATGCAATTTCTATCCACAGTGATTCTGTGGTACCTATTTTTGGACTCTGTCAGAAGCGGACTGGCTATGGGGAAGTGCAGTCACCCTAGAGGATAAGCTGTCATCCAGGCCAGGCTCAACAGGTTTACAAGTGGGCGGATCAAAACCTGATATGGTATTCAACACTGAGAAATGCAAGGTGCTCCACCTCGGGAGAAAAAGCCTACACCATGCTTATAGGCTTGGCAGTGCTACACTTGCTAGTACCACGACTGAGAGACTTGGAGGTCATGATTGACCACAAGATGAACATGAGCCACCCAGGCAGTGCTGCAGCCAGCAACGCAAACAAAACTCTGGCTTACATCTGCTGATGCATCTAAAGCAAGACTCAGGAAGTCATCCTCCCGCTTTGCAGCCTCACCAAGGCTGAGTATCTGGAATACTGTATCCAGTTCTGGGCTCTTCAATTCAGAAAGGATGTGGAGAAGCTTGCAAGAGTCCAGAAGAGAGCCACGCAAATGATTAGAGGACTAGAGAGCAGCAGGCCTTATGAGGAGAGGCTGAGAGTCATGGGACTCTTCACCCTGGAATGGTAAAGGCTCAGGGGTGACTTGGTGGCAGCCTGTAAGTACGTAAGGGGTGTGCATCAGGAACTGGAAGAGCGTCTGTTGACCAGGGCACCCCAAGGGAAGACAAAGTCCAATGGTCACAAACTCCTGGAAGACTGTTTTAGCCTGGACATAAGGAAGAGCTTCTTTACTGTCTGAGTCCCCAGGGCCTGGAATAGACTCCCCTCAGAGGTGGTGCAAGCACCTACTCTGGATACTTTCAGAAAATACTTGGATACCTATCTTGCTGGGATCGTTTGACCCCAGCTGACTTCCTGCCCTTTGGTCAGGGGGCTAGACCTGATGATCTTGTGAGGTCCTTCCCAGCCCCAATGGCTATGAAATCTGTACATCTATAAAATCTTACCAGTTAAAAAAATCTACCCTATTTGATCTGATGCAGTCTTTGATATAGAGAGTTGTGCTCCCCCCCCACGAGTATGAGCTAATCTGTCATTCCTGTATGACTTGTATCCTGGTTTTACAGTGTACCATTGTTTTTTGTTTGTTTGTTTTTTCTCCTCATTCCACCATGTTTCTGAGATACCCATTATGTTAATATTTTTATTTACTGCTAAGCATTTACATTTCCCAGGCCTGGATCTTAGACTTCTCACATTCATATAACATCGCTTATACTTTTTATTGGCTACTTGTGTGTATGACCTTTTAATCTGTAAATCTGTTTGTTTATGATCTTCTCTGTGTTTCACCTGAGTTACTCCTATCTTGTTTTTTTCGCTGTTGTTTATAGCTTCACCCCTGTAGCATGTGTTGATTTGAATCATATGCTATTCTGCAGTTATTGGCTTTTC